GTAGCGTCTCCGCTCCCGCTCTCCAGTCCGACAGCCCTGGGCGCCCGCGAGCCGGGCCGGGACGGATGCCACCCCCAACCCCGCAGCACAGCTCTGCGAGCACAACTCTGCGCCGCCCTCCTTACACAAACGCGCGCAGCCCTGCACCCCCGGAGTTGTCTCCCGCCGCCTTCCCACCGCGCACCTCGCGGGCAGTCAGAGCAGTGATTCCCCGCGCTCCAGACATCCCAATAGTTCTCCCCATTTCCAACCCTGGCGCTGAATCCCTAGATGCCCTGGGGGGCCCTATGGGTACTTCATTGCCCAAGAACCCTCGGGTAGCTTAAAATGATTTCACCTGGGTCCCAGGGACCAAGACCACCTCTACCCCGTGTTAGAACTTTGGGGAGGCTGGGGTAGGGACGAACTGGGGGTTTGGAGGGCTCCCGGGCTATGCCCTTCTTGTTTCTATGCTGGGACCCCTAATTTCTCCCACCCTCTTCCCTGACTCCTGGGCTGAGTCTTTTGGGTAAGATTCAGTGCATCAGCCTCAGACCCTAGGGGAGGAGCCCTTAGCAGAGTTAATTTCTCTAACCCACTCTCTAGTTTTCCCTTCTGAAAAAATGTAGCTCTTGAAACCTGTGAGATCCTAAGTCCTCCCACCCACACCCGAGTGCCATTATCCCTAATTTCTTCTTGGTGTCACCTTCCCTTCACAGTGGTGGTCCCTGCAAGTCTGTGCCCCTCCCCTTTTCTCCCTGGGTAACTCCTTTCTGGGTGCCTGAGCACCCAGTGCCCCAGCCGGAGGATGACATCCAGCACGGCCTTGCCTGGGCATTAACACAGAAGACCAAGGAGCCTCAGTTTTGCCCCCAAAAGGCAGTACCACTCCTTTTCCTGTCCTCCCTAATCCCTCAAAGCAGCGGAACCCCACCCTTCCTCACCCTGGTCCCAGGCTAACCATATCTCCAGTGTGCCTGCCCCTCCCCAGTCCATGCCCTTTCCCTGGGGTCTGTGCCTGGGAGCAAAGGGAAAGTTCCTGTGCTTCAGGGGAGAAGTCCAAATGGAAGCAGGAGAGGGAGCCAGAGAAGCAGGGAGTCACAGACCCAAGCAAGATCCCTGCAGGTTCCTTCTCTGGTTTCTTTTGGAGCCCAGACGTTAATAACCTAGGAAATCCCACTTGGCCAGCCCTACCCACTCCTCCACCAGCCCATGAGTCCCCTTTCCCCAGCAACAGGCACCTACCTAGAGGCCACACCACAACACAGGAGAAGGTGAATGGAGGTCACATGCTGGGTGGTGGCCTGAGGCCCAGAAGCAGCCTGGAGAATTGTTTTTGTAGCCAACAAATAACACTCAGAATATTTCATATAAAATTGAAGAGTCTTAGCTTTCCTTCAAAAATCAGAAGTTCTGGCAATGCAAATCAGCCCACCTTGGAGCGGGGCACTCCCCAATTTACCACAGTCCCAGCCTGCCTGCTTCACTGTACACCCGCTACCTGGCACCCACAAGCAGCCCCACCCTGGGGCTAGATGGGCACAAATCCTGAATCCTAAACTGGGTTCTCATGAGCTCTGCAGGCTTGGGTAACCACTCTGGGCCTCAGTCTCCTTTTCTCTAAGAGAAATAACTAACTGCTTCATAGGCTGAGACTTAAATGGGATACAATTTGAAGACAATGCATATCATAACTGCAGCTGCCAGGGTTGTGGGGCAGTAACTGTATCCACCTGGGCAGTATTGTCCCCGTACAATTTTACCTCTTGTGATTGTCACAGCCACTCAGTGAGCAGATGGTGGTATTATCTCCATCCTCTCTCCTCGCTCTCTTTTTTGCCGGTACTGAGGATCGAACTCAGGACCTTGCACTTGTGAGGGTAGAGCGGTGCCAATGAGCTAAATCCCCAGCTCCACCTTCTCTTTTCCTGGAGGCCTGCGGGTGGGTAGCTGTCAAGTGGAGGCTGCTGCACAAAAGCGGCTCTTTGGACTCCAAACCAACTATTGCCCACCCCACCCACGCATTCTCTCTGCAGTGACCAAGATCTGCGCCCAATGTGAGATGGAGCACAGTGCTGATGGCCTCATGGAGCAGATGTGCTCCAGTGACTTTGGTGAGTGTGGGGCCCACATGGCCATGCCCTGGCACTGCCCCCAGCAGTCTCGACACACAGACGAACACAGGTGCCCACATCCATAACAGTAACCCCCAAAGCTTCTGCACTGTTAGCCCTTTTAGGATCTGATGATAACCACAAGCCCTCTCCCCATAGCAATGCACCTCTTTTTGCACACCATCCCAGGGGCTTCAAAGGCCCTCAGGATCATGGTCCATGGGCTTCAGAAATCAGCCCTGCTCAGGGCTTCTGCAGTCCTCCTTTGGCACTGTCCACAGAGGGGCCTCCCCAGCTGAATGGTCTCTCTGGGAGATGTATAGGCTTAGCCCAGAGATGGGACGGGCCACAGTAGAAGAGAGGGACTCCAGTCTGAAAGTGGAGACCCTCAACCCTGGATATTTTGCTCTGAGTACCCACTGTTCCACTGGTCACCTGTCCCCACAACTTCATCCTAGTCTCCCCTTCCTGGGGCAACCACGCCGAGCTCACTCCTGGCCATAAAGTTCAAGTGCAATCTTTGCCAAGCCAGTTCTGGGCTTTGTGTCTATCCTCCCCATCTGTAAAAAACAAACAGATAATAGTAGGCTCTTACTTCAGGGGAGTCTTTCACGTCAGCAGCCTCTTGGAAAGAAATACTGCTATATGACAAGATGTGTGTGTGTGCATGTATATGTCAGAAAGAGGAGAGAGGAGGGAGAAGAAAGACGTTTTAGGGCAGCTTTCTTCCCTGATTGGCAGTGTCATTCCCTGAATTCTTGTCCATGTAGGGGCCAGAAGCCTGAAGAAGGGAGAGCCTAGCCTGGGGGACTCCTCATCTGCCTCCAGCCCAGGACTTCGTGGCCCCCACTGTATCAGACCCTCTCGCCACCCTGGAGTAACGTGACCATGGCTGTGGCCATGGTTCCTGCCTCCATCTCCCCACACACACTCTCGTTCCTACACACACCACACACACACCCTTAGACAGAGGCCACTCAGTCTCAATCTCTCTCACGCTCACACACACTCACACATGCAGGTCACACCATAGCTCCGTGCCCCGTGATGTGATGTGGTTGGTCACGGTGAGTATCAAGAAATGCTTCAAGGAGGGAGGCTGCTCCTCCCCAGGGCTGGCTGTTAAACACCAGCCCACCACTGCTCCACGCCCTCACCCGACGCTGCACACCTACACCCTCCACATCACGCACATACACACAGCCTGGTTAATCACGAATAGCCGGAAAGCCCATCAAAATCAGTTCCCACAGTCCTGAAGCCCAGCTTCCCTCCATGGCAAGGACCGCCTGTAGGTGCTCGGCCCACCTCCAACATTCCCATCCTGGCCAGACTCTGTCCAATCCAGACTCTGCAATTCAGGCAAGACATACCCTTTCCACACCTCATTTTACCCTCCTGTACTTTGAGTGTGAAGCTCTGTAAGGTCCATGAAAGGTCCAGCACCTGGTAGGATCTATATGAAGATTAGAACGTAACCCATGTAAGCCCCACCCCTCCAAGCCCGACAGCACAGCAGGCTGCAGGAACCTAAGGAAAGCACTGTCCTCTGACCTAACCCTTTTCAGGCTGCCCCTCTGCTCTCCTTCCCACAGTGGTCAAAATGCGCATTAAGGAGATCAAGGTGGAGAATGGAGACCGGAAGTTGATAGGAGCCCAGAAGAAGAAGAAGCTACTTAAGCCAGGCCCCTTGAAGCGCAAGGACACCAAGAGGCTGGTACTACACATGAAGAATGGTGCAGGCTGCCCTTGCCCACAGCTGGACAGCCTGGCAGGCAGCTTCCTGGTCATGGGCCGAAAAGTGGACGGACAGCTACTGCTCATGGCCATCTACCACTGGGACAAGAAGAATAAGGAGATGAAGTTCGCAGTCAAATTCATGTTCTCCTACCCCTGCTCCCTCTACTATCCCTTCTTCTATGGGGCTGCAGAGCCCCACTGAAGGGCACGCCTCACTGCCCCACCCAGCTGTGCCTTGCCCTTTGTCCCTGCCCATCTGGCCTCATGCCCATTCCCAGGCTGACCCAGCCCCTGGCAGAAGGTGACTTCCTCCAGAGTTGTCAGTGACCCAGGCCCCAGGGATGGGCCCAGGGCTCAGGGCCTGTCCTTCTTGACTGAGAGGTCCTGAGGCTCCTGGGGTCTTAGGCTTTCTTAGAAAGACTTTCTCTTCTGGGATTTTCTCTGCTCAGGAAGAGGTCAAAGGGAGGAGAGAGCAACAGAAGGGTGGAGGGCAGTCTGAGGAGGGGGCTTCCCAAGTGGACAGTGGGGTTGGCTCTGCTCTGCTCTGCTGGTGGTGAGTCCTCACCTCGGAGTGGTGTCTCAGTGTTGGGCTGAACGTGTCCTCATCACGGCCCTCCATACAGGAGGCCGAGGGTCTCCCTGCCCTCCAGCCACACCTCCTGCATTCTAATCTCTCCCTCTCCTCTACCCCAGGCCTCCAGCCCACTCCCTGTGCAGATCCCGTCCCAAGGCCTTCTTCTTGGGGCTCCTTCCTCCGTCTCTGCATCTCCCTCTTCCCCTGATGATGCTAAGTTATTACTACTGTAGTGAAGCCCTAAGTTCTAGATGACAGATACAAGCAGGGTTTGGGTTTTTTTGTTGTTGTTGTTGTTGTTGTTTTAGTTTTTAATTAAATTAAAGAAAACAATAGTTGGTTTCGACTGGTGATTTGTCAGCTGATCTCAAAGAGGTGGGGAGGGGTGAGAGAGGCTTATGATGGACTATTAGTAAGAAGCCCTTAACCTCAGCCACCACCTGGCTACAGACCTCCCTGGGATGCCTAAGAAAGGCACTGCCCTGTTTCTGTAGGCTCCCCAAGAGCATAGGTAAGGGTCACCCTCACACCCCAATCACTACATGTGGGGTATCCCTGAGGAGGAACACGGGTGCCATCTCCCCAACCTGCTGCCCCAGTCAGGATACTCCCACAGTGGGAGAGCATCCTGGCCTCACAGGCAGGACTGACCTGTGGGTGACAGATGCCATAGATCACCACTACTCTAAGTGTTGTCCCTGGGGTCAGCAGCAGCAGCAGTAGCAGCACTGCCTAGAAGCTGGCTACAAATGCAGATTCTCAAATCTGGGTACACTGAGCTACATCCCATTCCTTTTTTATTTTAATAAGGTCTCACTAAATTGCCCAAGCTGAGCTTGTAATCCTCCTGCCTCAGCCTCCAAAAGTGCTACAATTATATGCCTATGCCATCACACCCAGCTCATCATCTGTTTTGGGGTTTTTTGTTTGTTTTTTTGTTTTATACCGGGGATCAAACTCAGGTCCTTACACTTGCAAGGCAGGCAGGAGAACCACTAAGCTAAATCTCCAGCACTCATAATCGGCATCTTAACACATGAACATTAGATCATCTAGTGAGCTTTTCCAAAACACTAGGCCCCATCCTGACACAATTAGAATCCCAAAGAAGCACCCAGAAATCAGTGTGTTACATGCTGTGTAGCCACAGTTGAGGACCACTACCTAGGTAAAGTTAACACCTGAAGCAAGGAAAGAAAGAGGGTGTGGATCTTTGGTGGGCTCAGAGCAGATGGAGGTGGCTACCATGAGGAGGAGGATGAAGAGATGGGCAAAGGCTTGAAAGAGAGGGAAAAGGCTGCTGCCACCCAGATGGCCAGTGTTTGGAAGGGTGGTGCCAGGAAAAGCTCCCTGCAGGGCCCCTCAGCAGATGCTAAGGGACAGCGATGGCGTCCCCAGAACAGGAACCGGGAACACTCTGAGGGCCTTTTCTTGCCAGTGGGGGTGGAGCTGGGATGCAAAGTCCAGCAGAGATCTGCAGTTCCTCCAAGTCAAAGAAGCCACCCAGATGAGAAAAACCCCAACTTCTACAGCTTTCGGGGAGCACATCAACTTGGAGGAATGGGGAGGAGGCATCTCCAGAAAGGTGAAAGCCAAGTTCCACACACACACTCAAGTCTAACAGGTAGTCTGACAACCTGCCCATAAATCACTCCCAGGCAGTCAGGTGGCCCCAGCAGGAGCAGCAGAAGCGTCCTGCTTCTCCTTACCCTGAGGAAGCCACTGGCACCCACTCTGCCCAAATTCTGCCCAGCCCACCTAGCTCCCTGAATCTGCCCCTTGTCTCCCAGCCTCCTATCCTGACCAAATATTTATGGACACTTCAATGGTCAACCAGGACCAGGGATTATTTTTCCACTGAGCACACAGGACTCAGGCCCACCCCTGGCTGAAGCACAATGCTGACCTCTGTCAGATGCTGGCATCAATAAGCAGTGCAGTGGGTGGGGAGAGGGCACCCTCATGTCCCACGAAGGCCGGTCAGGGACTCCCTACCACCTCCACAGAGGGGCCCAGGCCTGATCTGTACAGCTGCTCAGCCAGGTCCCCAGGAATCTTTTCTTGGAGCGAGAATCCTCCTGAAGACCAGGGAGACCTGCAACGGCCCTGTCCTTCCTTCCTTCCAGTCCCTGCTGGCTCCCTGTCCTCTCTCCTGGATAGTGGGGGGACCACAGTGGGACCCAGTGTGTCAGAGGATTGCCTCTGACCATGAGAGCACAGCAGAAATACCAAGGAATAGTGGGGGCTTCTGGAAATGGACAAGTGGGAGGTCTGTGTCCCAGACTCCTCTGTCTTCCTGCCCTTAGGGGAAGGGGGGCTTTTGTTCTTGTGGTTACAAAATAGTGCCTCTTCTTCCCAATATCCCAACCACATCCCAAGCAGCAAGGAAAGGCTAAGAGCAAAAAGCACAGGTCAGCTGTCTCTAGCCCTTTTGATCAGGAAGTTATTTCCCAACTAGTCCTACCTGGTAGATTTCCACTGCTAGCTCACTGGCCAGAGCTAAGGCACATGCCCTCTCCACAAGGCAAGAGAGCAGGGGAAATGAAGTTCATCATATGGGTATAAAATTAGAGTTTTAGTATAAAATAGGAAGGATCTGGAGGTAGGTGACTGACCACACAGGGCCGGGGTGAGAAGGGGCACTATAGCTCAGTTCTGGCATCCCATCCTGAGACTTGATGACTATGTGTCTGAGAACACAGCCAGCTATAAAGTGGAGTAAAACATCTACTTCCCAGTGTCAGAGTGTTAAGTATCAAATGCATGGAATGTACCTGGAAACAATGCACAGCTCTGAGAATATGTTAAGTGGTTGCTCATATTTTTATTAACCAAAGCCATGACCTAGTATAATACATAATAGGTGCTCAGTAAAATCCCTGATTCCTTAACCAAGATACCCAAGTGGCAGGAAGGCAGGGAAAAGGAAAGAGCATTTGCTCTAAAAGCCAGAATTACAGAATCAACATTGGGGGTTTTGCTTCAGAAGTAAACCTCCTAAGCCTGGCATGGTAGCACACACCTGTGGTCCCAGCACTTGGGAAACTGAGGCAAGAGGATCACTCTGAGTCTGAGGTTAGCCTGGGCTACACTGAGTTTAAGGTCAGCCAGGGCTACATTGTGAGTTCAAAACCAGCCTGAACTACATGGGAAGATTCTGTCTCAAAAA